TTCCCGTGATCATAGTCCTTTAAAGCCTCTCTAAGCCTCTCTATTTCAATGGGTGCTTTGCAGGACGGGGGTTCCCATTGAGTTTTTAAAAGAAAAATATAAAATGTAGCCCCCTTTTTGACAGGAAAGTACCTGCAGATTGCTGGGCTTTTGCTTTTGGTCTTTATGCTCTGGGATACAAGAGCCAGGTTGATCAATCACACTTCAGAAACTTCCTTCATATGCTTTTATAGAAGAAAACGATAGCCACAGTGAATCGATAACAGGTGTGGGAAACATGCAGCACAATGTCTATCTGGTCTGAGGCTTACTTTCTCTGAATGGAGTGGTTTCTGCCTGCCCTGATTACATCTTTTGCTGCCTCCGATAATGCTGGGTCAGCTCAATATATTTTGCTGCCTGAAGCAGATAAGAATCCTCCTTCCCCACAATTCCACATGCAGAAATTGACTGGGCTGGGAGCACTGCTAAAGGTAAGGATGAAGTAGCTAACAGGCTATCCAGTTCCACAAGTCACATGCATTTAAAAAAAAAAAAACCAAGACCAAAGGAGAGTGCATAAATCAAAGGGCCCTCCCAATTTGTGCCCCAGACATTAACGTGGGTTTTATTGCGACTCTGCTTTGTGGTGTTCCATAAAAACAGCATCTGCTGAACTAGCACCAGCATGTGAGCCATAAGCCATCTCCTAGGGCAGCACACTTTCGGAAAGAAATGTGCTCGCTATCAGGCAGCCTGAACCATTGAACTTGCTTTACCACATTTTAGAAGGGCAGGGGGAAATATGTTCTCTGTAATCCAATCATTCCCCAGCCCCTCTTTTTTAAATCAAAAACAGGGCCAGTGCATTAGAAAGGGAAGTGAGAGGAAAATATGAGAGCAGAGACAGTAGCCAAAGCCAGGCTCCATAATATTTACATTAATCGGCCAATTATAGCCTACGAGGGCCCGATCCTACCAAGCTCTCCTTTCACTGAATAAGCCTTTCTCACAAATTCATTTGCATGGACTTTGCTTGTAGCGAGGTAAGGATACTGGTAGGTGGCCTTTGGAAGATTACATGGCTGGAGTATTCGTGTGCTAGGGACCTGGGTAGCTGAGAAGCAAGCTTATATAGGAGACACACCCAAGCCTTACATAGGAAATAATGTCTGGCACATGACAAAGCAGTTGTGATAAAGGACCAGCAAGGCAAGGGCTCAAATGAGCTCTAATATGATTCTTTCCTGTGCCCACAGCTTGTCCTGGGCACTCAGGGTGTATAGCTTGCTTCATTTTTATACACTGGATTTTTAGCAGGGATGCAGTGTTTAACTGGCTGGTTAGGTTGAACAATAGAGGATGGAAGCATGGAAGAAAGCCTTATTGACCTCAATGGGATTTACTTCTGAACAGACATCTACAGGATTGCACTGTACGTTTTGCATGCCTATATGTGTTTACTCAGAAGTAATTTGGGTAGGGTATAAATAATAAATTATTAAATTATTATTATTGTTGCACTCAGCGGCGCTTACTTCCAAGTAAGGGTGTATAGGATCCCAGACTTAATTTGACTAAAACAGTGCTCTGATTATTTGGGTAGAACATTTAATAAACAAGCAGCATTTTCAAAGAGACATTTTTCCTCTTCTGTCTTTCTGGTGTGGTTGCTGAGAGGTCTTTTTCAACACCTGTAATCAAATAAGTGTGTTTCTAGCTACAGTAAAACAATTTTATCCAAACAATTTTATGCAAACTTATTCAATTTTGAAACTTGAAAAAACATTAATTGGGTTGCACCCCTGATTTTTAGATGACGATTACAATTTGATGTTAAATTCATCTCGAGTTTTGCATACTTTTACTTGAACTTAAGCCCTGAATGTTTGTAGTCGGACTTTAACAAAAATGCATGGTTCACGATCAAAATTTATATGGTTCTGTTGTATCTCATGACAATTGTCTTGCTAGAGAGATTCTGCTTTTCTCGTCTAATGAGGTGCATTAGTCAAGAGCCAAAGGACCTCTGACCCTAAGATCAAGTGTCTACTCTGGAGGGAGAACACTTAGTATATGAGAGTATGATTTGACAGCAGGCAGCTGGAAGGAATCACTGAAAATTCTCAGAGAGTAATCCTTAAAAATCTGACTGAGAGTATGTGGAAGTAACAACCACGTCATCTACTGAAAAGTCTTATAGAGTTTGCTGGGGGCAGGAAAGAGCTCTGGTTTCACCACTCAGTCTACTTATGTTATAAGTACTCCCGTCAACAGGGAGTGAGTAAAAGGCTTAATCGATGGTCAAGGGACACAATCCACCACCTGGAAGTTCTTCTTCACATTCCCTGTTATAATGAATGGAACAGTGCAAAAGAATTCCTGTGGGTAATAAACCCAGCAGAACTCCGCAGAAAATGTCATGTTCTATGCCCTAATACCAGTCAGGCAAATACAATTTTATGCACGAAAAAGAACACACACCAAGACTTTGCTGGGGATGGATCCCTTTGCTGGGGATGAGAGATGGATTGCAGGAAGAAACAGCTCTCAAATCAATTACAGTATTTTTTACAGCAACTCATGATAATAAAATGATACATTGTATATGTATAATAATAATAATTCTGTGTTTTTATTTGCAAGGTAACTTAGATCATCTGGAGAAATTGTACTTGTGGTCCCACACTCTACAGAACAGGGTAGTGATCCAGAAATGAAGCTTTTCTTCAATTTTTTTCTGCACTCTGTAGTGTCCTTTCCTATGCCATACAGGAAGAACCATATCCATCATTTCCTTCAGGTGTCTCATAAAGACATAGTTTTTCATTCAGGCTTTCCCTGAGCCATAAGATTGGGCCCTTTTATTACTAGATTTCTGTTTTTATCACACTGTTTCACTGTTTTTATAGATGCACTTTTGTACACTGTTTATCTGTTTTCAATATTAAATGATCTGGAAATGCTTTTAAATGAATAGGACAATGCACACAAATGCATTTCCTATTTATGTAATAGCAGAAATGCATCTATAATAATATACCCTGAAAACAGAATAAATGAACACTTTATTGTACTTACCGTAACTTACTTCATCGACCAACAATTTACCACCAAACGTCTGCAATGCACTCTGATCACCTTATATCTGAACACAGCAGAGTCGGAAGAAGAATTAAATCGGAATCAAATCATATTATATCAATTGAAGAGAATTATCCAGAAATTATCACTAATAAATTTGAATTGGAGCACAGTCATCAGATCTGCGATTCAATCCGGAATGACCCTATTAAAGTTGGTGAGTCTATCACCCTGTTCATGCATTTAGTCACATGTAAGCAGCAGGAACACAGAGATCTGAGGAGGGAATCCCTCAAAACTATACATTGCTGGTATTTGACCTTTGGGAGGGGGTCAGCAGGTTGCTGGAAAGAAAAATGGCTCTCAGGGTCTCCTAATTTGAAAACAGAGAGGCTGACTGACATAGAAGGTGCATAAGGTGGATCTCTGAAAGCAGGGAGACAGAAAGATAGCAGAGAAAACCCTAAATGGACAATCTCTATCATCCAGCAAGAAGTCGGAGAAGGCAAAATGGGAATGGCTGTACAGAGCAAAACTGTTGAACGCACCAAGCAATACTTCTCTTCAACATGATCCCTGTGAACTGGCAGGAAATGGCTACTTTCTCATGCACGAGAATTTCATCATCCCAACTCTCTCATCCAATCCCCAAATTTCAAGTATTTTCAAAACACAATCGGGTTTTTGTCTGGAATGATAAATGGCCATCCAAAGCAAAGCAAACTTGTTTTGTGATAATCCTTAGAGATCAACGGCTGCCTTGTTGTCTAGCTTACATTGGCTGAAGAAACCGAAATGCAAACATTCACTCCCCCCATCATTTATAATTGCAGCAGTGAAACAGATCCTGCCTCCCTTCTGGAGGAATAAAATAAAGCTTTGCCTGGGACCCATATTTTATTTACAAATACAACAATCACATGATCTGCAATGAAATAAATCTTACATGCACTGCAATGATTCTGTTTATTATAAACTGGAGATTGCCTTTAAAATGCACTCCAGGGGAAAATTCCTGGACATCTGGCTAGATGAATGATTTTACCCATGAAATTTGGGCTTTTACTTTTGAAGAATGGGCATCAGGCAGCTCACATAGCCAACTCCGGGGGCAGTGATGGTGCAAATGAAATGTGGAGCTTCAAAGCAAATAATTGTTTGTAAGCAAATGGCTTGCACTGACCATACAAGGGGCTATTGCAGATATTAATATTGTGCCATTTGAAGTGACTGGATGCATGAAAACTGGCTCCTTTTGGAAATAAAAACTTGTCATGTGAGGTTTTAGGTTTTGATTTCACCTATTTTATTTTGCATTGGGACAATGGAATCAGGTTGACTTGTTAGACAGGTGGTGTTGGCTACTTGGGCTTGTGCTCCATAAGACAAATGTGCCTTTACTGTTGTTGTTGTCGATGATGATGATGATGATGATGATGATGATGATTACTTATACCTTGCCCATCTGATTGGGTTGCAACAATAGCTACAACAAGGATACTGAAAGTGAACCTGAGATCATATGCAGACCTATCATATGCATTTCAACAAAGCAATGAGTCTCCCTATGAGTTGACATCTATTGGCACCCAAATCCCTGATACGTATTTTTCATGAACATCAAGTTTAGGACATTAGACTTCCCCAGCCACTCTAGGTGGCTTCCAACAAAAGAGTAAAAATACATTAAAATCCAGAAGAGGCTGCTCTTTGCTCAGACATTCAATCTGTGTTTTAAAATATTTTCCTTTCCTCAATTGTTTCATTTATTTCCTCTGCTACATATAAATTTCTCCGGTGTGCGGGGATTGGGCTTCCTTCATAATCTCTCCTGTTTTTACATGCTTTTCCTTTGGTTTAACTTATCGGGCTCTGATGTCAGGGCAGCTGCAGTTTTCAAAGAGGAGCTCATGCCACTTCTTGCTCACAGTTCATCCATCATGCTCAGCTGGAACATGATGAGGATTAAAAATGCAACATGATAGTGGACCGATCTTTCGCCTTCCCAGCCATAACTGTGCGGACGCTGGCACACAAATTGAGGCTGACGAGGAATGATATATTTCTACAAAAACCCTCGAGAAATGTGTGAACTGGCTTTCCTGCTGATTTGGATTATGTCACAGGAGATGAAGTGCCAATTTTTGCATGTCCTGACGAAACCAGAAACCTGCGCACAAACCAGAGGACTCGTGGCTCTGTGGTTCCAACATGTCATACCAACAAGGTCTGGTAGATTCCTTACACCAATGTTTTAAAAGTGGTATTTATAAGGCAGTTTCTCAAATAATCAAAAGTCCTTTCTTTAGCATGAATACATTCCTGTTGTGGGCTGGATCAATGGTTTTGAAATTGCTTCCTTGGGAATCTTGAAGTAAAAAGGGAGCTTTTTATGTTTTCTTTCCTTTGTTTATATTTACATTCTTATATGGCTCCTACAATGGTGCTCATATTTAAGTGGGATCAGTACAACTTGTCATTAGATGAACATTTTAGGCATTTTGTATTATACATTGTTAACTGTTGTAGTTTTAATTGTTTTTAACTATGTTTTATTTTGATGATAACCAGAATGCAATGGGAATTTTGTATTTGATTTTTTTAAAAATCAAATTTATTTTAAAGAGTGTTTTATCATACATAAAACATGATTCCACATCCCTTGCCTTCTCCACAACCATCATGCCAAATCATCTCCACGCCATCCACAGCCCAAATCCATTTCTAATATCTGCTGAAGGCACGACTGGGAAGCCTTGGCCCTCCAGATATTGTTGAGCTACAACCCCAGTCAGCTTCATCTAGCATAGGCAATGGCCAGGGGTGCTGGGAGTTGTAGTTCAGTGCACCTGGTGGACCAAAGGATCCCCACACCTGGCTTAGGAATTACCACGTAACCAGTTTTTTCTGGAGAAAATTAGTAAAAGCAGTTTAACTTATTTTAAGGTGGGTTGTCCACCACTTTATAGCCATTGCGATGTCATCTTGCTTACTGTAATTGGAATTGGTTTTGTTTAAATATCTACCATTTTTAGCCTGGTTTGAATGCATTTGTGCTTGGTTTGGTTTTGCCATTGTCAGCCTCTAGCTGTACTGGCTGGAAGCATACAAATTTTGAGTACGGATTACTGTGTTCTATAAACTTTATAGAAGGGGGCAGCTGCCAAACCCAGTTTTCAAATATGTGCGAGGTTTTCTCCACTCCCACAAGGTAAATCCTAACCTCTGGTTTCGCTAATGGAAAACATGTCTATAAAGTAGAGATGGGGAAAATCAACTCGAGAAAGGAGCTAACCTCTTTCTTTTTCTTTAATATCCAAGCCTAACAATAAGTCTCTCTGTGTGTCAGGCCTTTCGAAGTCCTTGTGTTAATGACTGCAGCACATTGTGAAGTGTCTAAGAGCTTCATATGAGACACAACCCAGAATCTACGTCCAGGAGGTAACCATTTGCACACATGCTTCCATTCTCAGAGTTCATTGCTTTCGTGAGCCATATTGCACCCTTTCCAATCGCATGTCAGAGATTTGATAAGGTGAGAAATCTTTCTCCTCTGCCTTCTGCAGCAGCACCAGCCAGGAGGAGATGAGGAACCGGGAAGGCAGAGTGCTTGATCATCCTGAGGAAGGAGGCAGGCAGCGTATCCAAAGATTATCACGGCAATGTGGCGTTAGTTGTTACAGGAGTTAGAGCTCAGGATCAAAGGCTCAGAAGAAAGCAAAATTTGACCAGGGGGGAAAAATCAATCCATTGGGAGTGAGGGTCATTGAGCTCAGGATGAACAAAAGAATAAAGAGCCCATTAAAACATCTGCAAACTGCTCTGGAGAGGGGGGAGAAGAAAGGAGGGAAAGGAAGGAAGCCTCCTCCCCCACATGCTAAATGACTTGTATGCAGAAAGCTACATTTATATGTGTGCCGTTCCCTCTTTGATTCTTGTCCACTGAAAGAGAGATAACCAGATTCCAGCCGAAATCTCCCCCCACCCTTCTCTGTAACATTTTCAAAATGATGTGTTTCAAACGATGGTTCCTGGATTTGATTGCAGGGGGTCGGAGGTGCTGAAGATCTAACACTCTGCACTCCAAATAATTTCACGTGTCAACATTCGCTGCTTATTTTTTAGAGCTTTCTCAACCTTGCTTTACTGTTACTCCAATGTCTTCCCTGTTCCACCCAACTTGCTCACATGCCAAAAAAAAAAAAAGATTATGCTGTTGGAGACATATAGATATATATTTGTCTTTATCTAGGGATTTTCTTGGACACATGTTTCATTCAGCTGTGCCACCTATTTTTGTGTGCTTGGAACTGAGTCTACACTGGTCCTCTATACCACAGCAGTGGTTGATAACTTCTAGCCTGCAGACCTACATTGGCCTACTAAAAGGTCCAAGTTAGCTCTCAAGGCCATTTCTCCAAAACCACAGTCATCTGTTCATCAACTGGCATCATTGGACGATATCAGCTGATGGTCAGGACAGTGGGTTTCAGTCCTGCTGGTGTCTGCTTCCCCAATGCATTTCGTCTTGTTAGGAGAGAGCAGCATAGGCTGTGCAGTCCACACAGTCTAGCTTACCATCTCATCCACCACTTTGATCAAGCCTTTATCTTAATCCGTTAGTCCTTATTCTTCACTGAAACTAAAACTTATACAACTGCACCTGTGATAGGGTTTTTGAATGCAGGCCTCACCTAGAGAGGGTGGGTGGATGTGGATTCCATCAGCTGCAGATTTAAATGCCAATTAGCTCAGTTTGCACATTCTGAAACAATGCCTGAACCAAACACAGCATCCAGTTGAAATGTAGATTGTAGTCTCACAGATGCAAAGAGCTTCCTTGCTTCTGTTACCTGTAAAGTACCATTTGCAGGGTTGCTGCTGGAAAAATCAATTCATCATTGCCATCCTAGTGGTTCCCTGTGCCACAGCATGCCTATTTTATGAAGGAACTCCGCTAGAATTGCACAGTGCTCAACGGGGAACAATAAAAACTTCCACAGAAACCATGTGCACCTCTCGATAGAAGCTTAAAAGTGCAAACAGGTCCTTGAGAGATCACAAACCAGTAATTGGCAATTTTGTTTTTAACTTACAAGATTTACTGAGGTGGGGGATACAGGCTGGTATCTTGATGCTGTGTGGCTTATGTTTTAAAAAAAATGGGGAATCACCCAAGGTCTTTGTAGCATAGATTCAGTTTGTAATGTATAGAGCTTGAACAACATTACACCATCTTCATTCATCCTTATTCCCCCACCCTTTTCTCTCTCACAGTTGTAAGGTTGTAGCTACACTTCAGCATTTGAAGTGCTGTGGTTAGTATCTTTCTAAAAGCTTCTTTGCAAACATCACTTTGCAAGTGTCCATACCTGCACCCTAAGCAGACAGCATGAGCAGCTATTGAATCATTGTCATCTGCACACACAGAGGGTGTGTCCTCTGTGGTTAATGTGCATTCCCCTGCTCCTTCCCCTGTCAACACCCATCATGTTGCTTTTAGTAATAGTTGTTTAATCCTGCAAAGTTTTTGATATACTGGCAGTCTGGTAGTACATGCTGCACAGCCTCAGTTAGTTATATTGTATTCAGGCTTCCTACCATGCAAGCAACTTCAAGTTTACATTTCTCCAGGGTTCAGGCACTCTGCATTGTATACGTCTAACACCTACTCAGAATAGGCCCTTTAAAATTAATATCCCTGAGTTAGTTATGTGTGCTTATGAAGGAACACCAATACACATGGGTCAGGGTGGCTTTTTCCTCCTACCTTATAAAGCAGAAAGAATACAACAATCATTGCAGTTGCTTACTTTATTCACAGTTGCTCCAGTCCAGTAAGGGAGATCTGCCCAAGGAAGCAGTCTTTCTTCTGTTTGCACAGCTGCTGCAGAGGCAGATACACATCTAGAGGCAAATCCCCATCCTTATCACAATACTCACCCAGGCCCCACTGGATTAATTACATAAGGGTAGAGATGAGCATCTTTCAAGAGAACGGCTCACCTGTAAGATTTGAAGCGTCGCACAGGCACACGGACACAAGGTCTCCAAGCAACTTGCAACATATTTAAGAGCATAATCAAAACACATTACGCAGGACCCACTTGCACAAGAGACAAGCAATTCCTAAAAGATACACAGAAACAACTTCTAGACTTCTTATTATTAGCATAGAAAAAATGAAACGGGGGCAGGGCAGGGTTGGTGTGGTGTGGTGCAAACATGCCAGCAGAGCCAATCCAGCTCCCATAGCAGTGCATTCGCACCATGCTGACTTTGCCACCACCTTGTCCCTCCCGCTCTTCGTCCTTGTGTAGAGCAGCAACTCTCCCAGGGGGAGGTCAGGTGAGAGGTGCAGCCCCACCATGCCATCCACTACTCAGAGTAGTGGAGCCAATTTGAAGCAGAGTTAAGCCCCAGGGTAAAATTTACTTCTGGAGTCTTTGTAATGTGGTTTGGCCTGTGGGTTTGGTTCATAATAGAGGATGTACTGTGGTGGGCAGGGGTAATGCAAGAATGGAACAAAAATCTATTCCAGCATTTTTGAAGTGGTATAACCACCAAAAACAATTGGAACTTACTAAATTGTTTTCTGGGTCAGTTGCTGGGGACTGGAGTCCAGTTGGCTTATGTTTCCGATAGTTTCACTTTCCCATCCATTTGGGGTAAATCGGGACCCCGATAAACTTGCATATAACTTACAAACCTCCCCCCCACACACACACACAAAGGGAGCGCTACAGGACAACTGAGGAATACATAGAATAATAAATGGATCAAGTTTGGATTAAAAAAAAGAGTTCTACAAATATTTCAACAGCAGCTGGGGTCCACAACAACCCCACTGGTTTAGGAGGGTTAAATTGCCTATCATAGCTTGAGAGTGCATGATTCATAAGAGCAGAGAAGAGTCACCGGAGATCTTTTGCTGTTCTTTTTCCTTTAGCTTGACTGCGCTTGACAATCTGACCCATTAATGAATTGAAACATAAATCTGCTAAAGAGCTATGAACAGTTTCCGTGTGGTCCTGTGTATCTGCTTGGGAAACTTTCTTTTGGTAGTGCTCCAGTCCCAACTGATGATATGGGGAGTAAATAGTGTCATCTTCTGGTCACAGTGCAGAGTTTAGATCCTATCTCTCCTACGCACTTTACAGATGGTCTACCATATTAAAAAAATATAAAAAAGTTACTCATAACATACCAGTGGCAGAGAATAGAGGTCACCTCTTCTCTCATACCCTCTTTGATGAGTCCTTCTAAGATAACAAGCTGTGCATCTGAAACATTCCCATGGGATAACTGCAGGTCACATCCCTTTATCTATGTAGCAATGAACTCCTTGTTAATCACAAAGTAGTCAAAAGTACCATATTTCCCCTGCTAATAGTTTCATTGTGGTTTAGGGTCTATATATAGGATTTTCATCTAGGGCTCCAGAGTAAGGATTGTTTATTTATTTTGTTTCTTCGTTTAATTTCAGTACTATTCCTAAGCTACCATTCAGGGATTCATCCTCCCATGGAGGCTCACAACATATTAAAAACAAAAGATTCACATTTTACAGAATAACAAGTCATAAAATGCATTCTATAATATGTTGAAGCAGGGGTGGTCAATGGGGTACACTTCCAAATGTTGTTACAATTCCCCTCAGCCCTGACCCTCGGCCATGCTGGCTGGAGCTGATGGAAGATGAAGGCTAGCAACATCTGGATGACACCATGTTGACTACCCCTGCACTAAAACACCCATAAAAAATGTTATAATAGCAGCAGATGGACAATGTCAGCAGAGAAGCAGTATGAATACAAAAACAAGCAACAGGGCATAAAGCATTTGAAACAGCAGCTGTTAAAGGCAGAACTTAAAATATCAAGTAAAAGCACTTTAGAACATCAACAACAAAAGTCTTCAGGGTCCATTTAAAAGTCATCAGTGTAGGACTCATCCATACCTATTTAGGAAGGTGAGTCCATATGGTGAGGCCTCCTTCAGCTTACCTGGACAGGGGTGGGGTGGAGTGGAATGGAGTGGCAGCAAAATGGAGTTGTGCAAGTAAGCCAGTGGACTCGATCCAGCACCCTGGTTGGTGAGCCCACTTAGCTTTGTCACTGCCGCCACCCCACCCCTTCCAGAAATGCTACAGCAATGCAAGGGGCAGGAGGACAGCTCTGTGGCTCCACCCCACCATATGGGCTGCTATTGGTCACCCCTGAAAAAGCCATTTACTAGACTATTTAATGGTGGCCCTGTGAGACAAAATGGTAGGCCCAAGGAGGTTCGTTGGGGTGTAGACAGCCCATCAAATTCCTTAGGTCCCAAACCATTTAGGACTTTAAAGGCTTTGAAGGTAACTACCAGTTTACAGAGAGGAGACCCATGACTCATTCCCTGCCCAATCATAGGTGGAGCTAGAGCCAATGATAGGCAGAACCAGTCAATTATAATTCCAACCTCCTTCCTACAAGACAATTTGAGGACTAAGGTGGAGGAAGGTGACAGGCAGTGCCTCTCTTTGGAATGGTTATATGTAAGAAAGTGGGCAAATGGGGGCTGTCTCAGGGCAGAGTGATGTTCATGCCCTATTTGCCCTCCACTGCCTGTGGATTCTCTAGTACTGAGATGTGTCCAAAGTAAGAGGAAGAACAAGCAATTGGTAGGTCCTCTGCATGGGGAACACAGAGAAATGCTATTGGGTGACAGAGAAAAGGTGGAACTACTTTGCCTCTGTCTTCACCCAAAAGGAAAGTGATGCCTAATCTGGTGATAACAGAATAAATGATGTAAGGAGGGAGCTGCAGCCTAAGACAGGAAAGGAGGTAGTAAGGGAACACCTAGCTACTTTAAATGAATTCAAATCTCCAGGGCCTGTTGAGTTGCATCCAAGGGTACTAAAGGAGCTTGCAGATGTAATTTCAGACCCTTTGTCTATTATCTTTGAGAATTCTTGGAGAACAGGTGAGGTCCCTACAGACTGGAGGCGAGCAAATATTGTCCCCATCTTCAAAAGCTGGGGGGGGGGGAGACCCAGGTAACTACCAACCTCTATTGGTTGACCTCGATACCAAGGAAGGTCCTAGCACAGATAATTCAACAGTCGGTCTGTGAGCATTTAGAAAAGGATGCTGTGATTGATGGTATTACAGACTTGGTGGATCAGGGGAATGTTGTGGACATAGTAGATCTTGATTTCAATAAGGCTTTTGACAAAGTCCCCCATGATATTCTTGTGAGGAAGCTGGTAAAATGTGGGTTGAACAAGGTACAGTGGTACCTCGGGTTACATACGCTTCAGGTTACATACACTTCAGGTTACACTCTCCACTAACCCAGAACTAGTGCTTCAGGTTAAGAACTTTGCTTCAGGATGAGAACAGAAATCATGCTCTGGTGGTGTGGCAGCAGCAGGAGCCCCATTAGCTAAAGTGGTGCTTCAGGTCAAGAACAGTTTCAGGTTAAGAACGGACCTCCAGAATGAATTAAGTACTTAACCCGAGGTACTACTGTAACTGTTGGGTGGATTTGTAGCTGGTTGACTGACTGAACCCAAAGATTACTCATTAATGGTTCCTTGTTATCCTGAAAAAAAGTGACAAGTGGGGTGCCTCAGGGTTCTGTCCTGGGCATAGCTGTCAGTGTTTCCCTTTTTTAAAGGGAAATTCCCTTATTCCAAATAGGATTCCTCGCAAGGAAAGGAAAAAGTTGCCAGCTATGGTCCTGGGTCCATTGTTGTTCAGGGTCTGTATAAATGACTTGGATGAAGGAATTGAGGGGATGCTCATCAAATTAGCACATTACACCAAATTGGGAGGGGTAGCTAATGCTGCAGAAGACAGAATCAGAATTTAAAATGACCTTAACAGATTGGAGAACTGGGCGCAAGCTAACAAAATGAACTTCAGTAGGGGCAAATGTAAGGTTCTGCATTTAGGCAGGAAGAACCAGATGCATAAATCTAGGATGGGGGACACCTGACTTGCTAGCAGTACATGTGAAAAGGATCTAGGGGTCTTGGTGGACCACTTGGTGGTCAACAGTGTGATGCAGCAGCGAAAAAAGCTAATGCTATTCTAGACTGCATCAGAAGTATAGTGTCCAGATCAAGGGAAGTAATAGTACCACTCTATTCTGCCTTGGTCAGTTCACACTTGGAATACTGTCTCCAAGCACCACAGTTTAAGAAGGATGTTGACAAGCTGGAACATGTGCAATCAAGATGATCAAGAGTCTAGAAACTAAGCCTTAAGAGGAGCGCTTGAAGGAGCTAGGTGTGTTTAGCCTGGAAAAGAGGAGACTGAGAGGAGATATGATAGCCATCTTCAAATATCTTAAGGGCTATCACATGGGGGAGGAAGCATACTTGTATTCTCCTAGTCTGGTGGGTAGGACTCGAACCCATGGCTTCAAGTTGCAAGAAAGCAGATTCCAACTAAACATCAGGAAGACCTTTCTGGCAGTAAGAGCTGTTCAGCAGTGGAACAGGCTCCCACAAGAAGTGGTGGACTCTCCTTCCTTGGAGGTTTTTAAGCAGAAGTTGGGTGGCCATCTGTCATGGATGCTTTAGCTGAGATTCCTGAATTGCAGGGGGCTGGATGACCCTTGGGGTCCCTTCCAACTCTGATATTCTATGATTCTATGAAATGAAACGCCTACTTTCAAAGCTCCTTGTGGATTTTCATCCTGAGAGTCTCTTTGGGAATACAATCAAAGGCACCACAGAGCAGCAGCAGCAGCACATATTTCCACAGGCAACTTATTTTGCTGTTACAGTTATTGTTCAGCTAGCCATGGGCCCAGCTCAAACCCTGCTAGCTCAGGATGTGGCTGAAAGTAGCCTCCTCCAGAGGCGTTGTTTATAAATTACTTTGGTCCACTTGACAAGGTCAAATCCATTCTCTTAATGATGAATCTCATCTGCTCTGGCGCAGAAAGAAATGTTTTCTTTCACTTCAACGTGTTGTAAGAGCTCATTCATCTCTGTATGTCCTATAAGAGAATCCCGCTACATCAGAGGGAAAAGGAGCAAGCAGAGTGCAACCGATGGCCAGGAAGATATATGGGATTCACTTTCCTGGGACAGACAGTCAAGTGGTAACAAGTGATAGAAAACAGCTCTATATTTCAGTGGGATGTGTGTTCACTCCCTGGGGATTTCAACCCCGCTGTGCACCATCTGCATTGAACAGATCCGAACTACTTTGTAGCTGTAGATTTTTATTTCACTTTTATTTTTTTGTTTCCGTGATCTCTATTTATTTGAGCAGAGGCCCAATTGCCACCCTTGAAAAGTTCTGCCTGTAGAAACTGTTGCCAAAAGGAATTGAAAAGGGGGAAAGCTAACGCAGAAGCCGAGCCAGTGTTGTTTTAAACATTTAGCAGTATAAATAGGAAGTGTCGATAAACGTGGGGATTTTAAGTAGCTCTCTGTCTATCTCTGCTCCATCGTTTGCCTAAAGTCCAGGGGAGAATTAAGTCAATTAATGGATTTAATGGTTCAGGTCAGCTTCTAGTCCAAGAACAGAGGGAATATGCTGGAAACGGTAAAGGAAACGGGAGTCAATATTATTTCCTAGAGCTAGCCCTCCTTAAAAGCTTAGGCAAATCCCTTGTCCAAGCCACACTGTAAATCCACGTTGGTGGATCTTACCAGCTACAACTGGGAACAAGACTGGAAACTGCTGCAAGTAATTAGCTTGGAGGAGGGGGACAGCTAATTAAATAAGCCATTGAATTTTATTGTCGAAACTGTATGAGGAGAAAGAAGGGGTATAAATAGTCTTAAATATATAAATAAATAGTGAGTTTCAGAAACAATTGGGAGAACTATTTTAGCACAACACCTCTTGTATGTGTGTATGTGTTTGCCAAGCTAAAACAGTCTCATTTAGTAAAAGCAAAACACATTATTTATGTAATGCAACACAACATTCTGAAACACTTGATAGTAAAAAAAAAAAGCTATCGTAGAATCATAGAATTGTAGAGCTGCAAGGTACTGCAAGGGTCATCTAGTTCAATCTCCTGCATTGCAGGAATCACAGCTAAAGAATCCCTGATTCCAACACACCTTTACATTTCCTTCCTAACTGGGATATGACAACAGGGTCTCCTTCTTTTTTCTGGATCTCCCCCCTCCCCCACTCTTTTGCCTCCTCTGCTTTTTTTGCACAGTCTGAGCTTTGCTTGCTGCAGTCAGTGGAGCAGGAGGAGAAGACACTGTGTCCTCACCCTCAGGGTTTTCTGCAGGAATTGAAATTAAGGGGCCTTTGAGCTGAGGGGATCATCCCCTTTGCCAAGGATAAAAGGAACGAGAAATGCTTCACTTCATAACGTTAGAAGGGTTAACTTACACGTAATATTAGCATTTTATTTTAACTAAACCAAGTTTTTTGTTTCTAATGTTTGGATACTTTGCTATTTTTAATAACTATTTTAGATTGTGTGTTTTCAAGGTAGAAAAAACACACACAATCTCAATGTGCAGTGAATGTAGTCTGCAGTGTTGTGTGTACACAGCCTAGATTACAGTCTGATAATTCTTGTTAATTCCCATTCCTTTCAGTTGAAGGAAGCACCTTTAACAGCAAAGAAAACATGTTCCTGAGCCTGTATAATCAATAGTTTATATTCCGGTAAGTGTTTTTGTTTTTGTTTGTTTATGTGTTTGTTTGGTTTGGTCTTCGCAGATTTCTTGCATTGGCCCAGATTGTTAAATCTGTTGCAACGGGCTTCCCTGCAACTCTCCTCTCCATAATGTTTATACCTCATAAAGTGCTGAAATTGTTATTTGTAAGTATATTACTTACCCAGCTACCCAAACCAGCACCTCAAGCATATGCATTTCATTGGTTTATTTAAATTCTTATTAAAACTAGTGGGGAAATATCTCATTTATTCATTGATACCCTGTTTAGATTGTGAATTGCTCCATAAATGCCTTGAGTTTCTGAGTTGAAGATAACAGCCATTTCCCATTATATCCATAATTTAACAGGCAGTAATTGTAGCTGCTGAACCTCTGAGCAGACAGATACTAAAACATTAGTGTAATTGGTTACAGGACAAAACAATTCTTTCAATGAATTTTACAATGGCAACAACAAAAATACGTAACATGGCTCATAGAATTAGCCTATGTGTGCTGCTGCACTAGCTGACTGCCAATCCTCCAACTGAGGAATCCTTGGTAGCGCAGCAAAAATCTGAGCATGTGTCTCACAATTTTTACTATTTGTATACCTTCTGATATGCCTCCTTTAGCACTGTGCAAAAATCTGTCCTCCAATTTCTTTGAGGTTTTATGACACTGAGAGAGAGATTTCTCATTTCCCTGTCTCATTCTGATAGTACCTCAGCTTGTTTGGTTTTAATAATTTTAGCAGGTGTAGGGTGTAGTGCAGGTGTCAGCAACTGATGGCCCATGGGCCAAAAGCAGCCCATGGAGGTCGTTTGACAGGCCCCCGAGCCGCCCCCAAACTGAGCTGCCCGCCCACGCACTGCGCTAAACCAGCGCAGCACATCATGGGGACTTGTTTCCACGGTGCTGAAAATTGCATCTGTGCATGCACAGAGGCCGAAAATCACAGGGGTGTGTGCAACCTGACCCACAGAGGGATCTCCGTGGGACCGATCCGGCCCAGGCAAGATATACCTTGTGGACCCCAGTTTAGGGCTTACTTTCTCACTGTGATGTGGTTGAGGGTGGTGGATCTGCCTTTCTTTCCTGGAAACGTTTCCCCAGCCCTCTGCAGACTCCCCAGCTGCCTGTGCTTTCTGATCTGGAAAAGGAACCCTGGGAGGAGAATTTACTTATTGCTTTCTACTAGCCTTTGACTGAATCCTGGGCAGCTGGGAAGGCTGAAGACTGCAGACCACTATAGAGATGAAAGAAAAGACACACATACTAGCTTCTTTGCTGCATCAAAAAGAAGTTAAGTGCAGCAAAAGCCCTGCACCCCATTCATGAAAAGATCTACATTGGCTCCCAGTACATTTCCGAGCACAATTTGAAGTGTTGGTGTTGACCTTTAAAGCCCTACACAACTTCTGCCCTGAAGCATCTCCACCAGATATTAAGATCCAGCTCCGAAGGCCTTCTGGTAGTTTCCTTACTTCAAGAAGTAAACTTACAGGGAACCAGGCAGAGGACCTTCTCAGTAGTTGTGCCCACCCTGTGGAATGTCCAGCAGATATCAAACAGATAAACAATTATGTGGCTTTCCATAGACATCTGAAGGCAGCCCTGTATTGAAAAGCTTTTAATATTTGAAGTTTTGTTGTGTTCTTTTATATTCTGTTGGAACACACCCAGAGTGGCTGGAGCAACCCAGTCAAATGGATGGGGTACAATATTCATTCATTCATTCATTCATTCATTACCCATGCTCATTGATCTGTCATCTATGGACTGGGGCAACTGAGTATTGCCTATTTACCTGTGGAAAACTATACTTCCCCAAACAAAAATGTATTTTACATTTAGCTTTAAACATTTACACGGATTTCATTTTAGAAGAGAGGGCCCAGTCATAAAATAATTCTTGATGAAACTTTCCAGCAATGTTTCACAGCCATTTTCAGTAAGATAAGAGAGCACTTGCCTCACTCCCATAAATTTCCTTCTCATTTCAAGATTATCTGATAGCACAGAAAATAGTGAAAGTGTTACGGAGAGAAGGTACATGTACTTATTCCCTTCTTTGTAGAGTATACTGTTTAACCTGTCTAGATAAGGAAAGGCTATAGTGGTTCTGGGATATGGGTAACAATTCTGTGCTGAAGAATAATCTACATGTGGATGCATCTGTTGTAAACGAAAAGTAACATCAAATGAAAACCTGGGTAAAAAGAGAGATGTTTTGGGCCTGTGTTGAATGAGAAATTGAAGGCTTATACCAGGGATCTCCAAACTCTGCCCTCCAGATGTTTTGGGACTACAATTCCCATAATCCCTGACCACTCATCCTGTTAGCTAGAGATGATGGGAGTTGTAGTCCCAAAACATCTGGAGGGCCAAGTTTGGAGATGCCTGGCTTATACTGTATTGAATAAGTTACAGAACCTAGGTCAATTGAGAGATTCCGGAAGAACAACCCTGGGCTTACAGTGCAATCCAATACAGCAGTAAACCCCACAGAGTTCATGGGACTTGTTCCCAGGGAGGGATAAATAAATCATTGGTTTTTCAGGACAGGACTGGAAGCAACCAGTTCAAGTCACTGAAATGGAGATTAAACATGAGCCATGAGTAAAGCTTTGGTTAGGAATGAACTAAGGCAAGTTCAATCGATATTGCAGCAATCTTTTGCCCTGGTATTGTCTTCCATGGAGGTTTTCAAGAAAAAAATTAAACTGTGAGCAAAAGGGGCTCCAGGAGGGAAAGGTGTGGAGTGTATGTATTTAGTCAAAATAACATCATTGCCCAGTGCACTGTAAACCTTAATATTTTCAGAGGAGAGAAAAGGGAAGTTATATCTCTTTCTGTACCTGATGGAAACAGATGTGCATTGTATGAGTGGGCTGCACTATATTCACAGTCATCTTCTAGCATATGGTAGACAAATGGTTAGGGCACTCTGCTTGGGGGAAGGCGGAGGTTTACTACAGCTGAGACCCTTTTCACATTTGCAATCTGTGTCCTGATAGGGAAGCAACCCAAAATACAACCACAGGGTGATGGCTTCACCTGGCAAATCGGGCAGGAGGCATACACCTGATTTCTCTGGAAATGTTCAGCCTTGAGAGAGGGATGGCAGCAGTTTTCATTAAATTGCTGGAAGCAGACAGTGGTGTTTACATGCCACGCAAATTATGTCCATACGCCACAAACCTACATGCAGTTGCATTCCAAGTGGCTTCCATACCACTTTGTGCAAGTCAGAGTTGACCTCCTTTAAGACTGAAATAAGCTTCAGCATTAAGGACACCTGCTCACTAAGATGCTATTCATTTCTTTGCATTGCCATAAGGATGAGTGAATCTATCTGTGTTGCTTTATCAATTTTCCAATCTTATATCCAGTTCACCTCTTTCCCGCAGGACTCGGAGATTATTTTTTCCAACAACAAAAAATCCTCATTAAAAAATGTCAGCATTTTAGAGTATATGCACATCCAAAATATGCACATTTTTTATGCAGCTTTGCCTAATCTGCACATTTTGCAAGCAATTTCCCTGAATACAATGCATGCTGTTTTCACTGATAGATAACCTTTTCCACACACATGTATCAATATATGCATTTTTTTTTTGTAGTCACAGTTTTGGTTGGAGAACTGTATTGCAGAATTTGAGAGGTTCAAAATTTTGGAGGTGAGTTGCATTTAGTTTATGCAATGTTTCACAACATATTGAAATAAAATCAAACTAAATTTGAATTCCCCACCATTCTGTTGGCTATGTCCCCCACCTCCTCCACCCTCTACTGTTGGAGGCAGTTTGTGTTTGGGTACCAGTTTCTGGAAACCCCAGGAAGGATGAGTGCTGTTGTGCTCAGGTTCTCCTTGTGAGCTTCCTCTAGGCATCTGATTCACCACTGTGAGGACAAGATGTGGTCTACATGGGCTACTGGCCTGATCCAGCAGGATCTTCTCATGTTCTTGCATGATCCCTAGCTGTGGCTTAGTTTGCCAGTCACTAGTGACCTGAACCAAAGCTGTGGTTCTAGTTTCATAGTGTTTTTAGGCCATTGAAACTAATAGAGCTAAGCAACAGAGGCAGCGCTTCACATGATGAATGGGGAACCAGATAACCCAAGTCAGTTTGGAGCCATTAGCCCAGGGTAGCTCAGTTATCCTTCATCATGCAGAGCACTGCTTCTAAAGACTCTCATTCATTGCAAGTCCAAAGCTGGGCGCAAAGGCATGACAAGTTTAATACGGCGTCTGTATCTCGTCACACCTCTCCTTCAAGAAGGTCGTGAATACCTGTTTGTCTAAGTGCATCGAGGGATGCCTGCAGTGTGTAATGGGAATAATTTCCACTGTAAATGCAGGGAGGAAAAGTTTAATTTAAGCACAGTCTTTCCAATTATGTGTAAATGGCAGGAAATCTGCTTCCATGCCCTCTTCGCTCCAGCTGAAATGACTTTATAGTGTGTGTTCTCAACATAAAGGTTTATTGGGCTGCAAACTGTCCACTGCTGCCGTCCGCTGGCGGGGATTGTGCTGTTCAATTCCAGCATAAAATGCCTTGGTGCTGATGATGAACAACGCCAAAAACAGCACGGCGCGGAATTTCATGGGATGACCAGAGGAATTTCTGCTATTGCAATATATGCGAAAATGGAAGCGGAAGCCACATCAAAAGGACTTGAGATTGCCAAGTGAAGCCTGAGCTACTTCCCTACTGATGAATCCCTAATAAAAATTATCTGGAAATTGACTTGGCGTGTACCACATGCTACACCTTGAACATGAGTATGGGGAAACTTTTTTCCAAAAGATTAAAAACACATTTTTCAATAAGAGAGTCTTAAATTTATAACTCTAGTCTTTTCCTTTCCTCTTCCATGTCTTATAAGGAAGTCTGGAAAACTGCTGTATTGACACATACGAATACCAGTACTTTCTATTATGCTTGCATGTAGGTACAATAGCCATCTTTAATGTACAAATTGATGGCTTTACCACCATTCTCTCTTAATCATGGTTTCAAAACAACATCTTCCACATGACTCAGCCCACAAATTTTACAGTAAAAAAAACCAAAAAAACTAAAGCATTTTACAAGCTACTATTCTTCAGGCTGCTTTTCCTTTCTCTCTACCCCCCTCCCATGTGCAAACATTCCCAGTTTTCCAAAGTAACTGTGGACACGTTTTTGGCAGAAGTGAGGTGCAATTAGTAAATGGTTTGCAAAGGCATATCAGTGTTGAGTTTACGGTTGCAAGCAGCGACAAAGACTCTCACCTTATAAGCAAATGATGCTTTATAAAAATCCATTGCCAATAGTTTTGCCGTTGTTTTTTAAGCCATTCTCACTTACCGGGTTGTCTTAAAAAATGGAAAGAGCTCCAAGCCTGAAGTTAGGGAGGCTGATGAAGGATTGCTAAATCCATAGTTCCCTGGGTGGATGGTAGACATTTATGGATTGCCAGACTTATAAAGCTAGAGTGACCATTTGAAATTCAGCAGGTACTAGTGCGCAGGTGGGGGCCACACACCAGAACAACTTGGAAACAATACAAGTTCTTACTGAAAACACACAGAACTCATGTCTCTTGCTTTTTAGCCAATCTGAGGAGTCAGGGGGGGGAAATACCCCCCCCGGCTCTGTCACATCCCTAAAGCTGTTGCTACTCACCCCAAGCTCTAAAGTATACAGTGGTACCTCAGGTTAAGTACTTAATTCGTTCCGGAGGTCTGTACTTAACCTGAAACTGTTCTTAACCTGAAGCACCACTTTAGCTAATGCCGCCGTGTGATTTCTGTTCTCATCCTGAAGCAAAGTTCTTAACCTGAGGTAATATTTCTGGGTTAGCGGAGTCTGTAACCTGAAGCCTATGTAACCTGAAGCGTATGTAATCCAAGGTACCACTGTACTCTCTAAAAGAGCACATGGCAAAAGGAGAAGAATGGTGTTTTCCCCCCACCTCCATTGCCCTGATAAACTGGGCAACCAGGGCTGGTCCAATACATTTTAGCACCTGAGCCAGACTCCGAAATGGTGCCTCCCTCCCAACCATGAAAGAAAGGGTGAGGGAAAAGCTACATCAGGAACATGGGAAAGAAAGATTGACATCAAGATCAGCTACCCCTGTGGATCCAGCCACTTTGCCTCATGGGTGGGCCAGCCCTGTGGGTAACAGTGGACTGTGGGAGATGTAGTTCTCCCAAGGTTTCATGGACTGGCTAGACACAGAGGAGTGGTGGGAGGCACTAGCTGGGGAACCCCCAAAGGAAACCCCAGAGGAGGAAGGCACGGAGCCAGTGGATTGGTTGTGGGACTGCAATGAGCGGTCAGAGGGAGCAGACTGGGAGGAAGATGTGTTGGGAGCTGAAGAGGTAACTGGGTTTAGTGAGCAGGGAGAAGCTGTGGCAGAGAGAAGTCAGAGGCAGGAATGGAGATTGGAGAGGAGGGGTGCCAAGTGAAAGAGATCCAGCAGGCTGCTGAGGAAGCCAGGGAGTCTTCCCCTCCTGTATGGCCAGCTCCTCACCCTCCTGGTTTCCCAGAACATGAAGAGGAATGAAGAGGGTGGAACAAAGAGAGACAAGATGAAGGAGTCTTAGGTTGCTGGGGAGGAGGAGACTTAGGAAACTGTGGGAAAACAAGGAACTGCCTCAAATGGGGCAAGATCTACTGGTAAGAGTGGCCATGCTCACTCAGCCTGACCTGGTTTTTGTTTCTTTGAATGAAGAGTTAACTTCCCTGACATCTCATGAGTTATTACTCACCTGACCCCGACCCCCATCCTGACCCAAGGGCTGCTATGATTTTTAACAAATCTGAACAGGAAAATGATTCTGAGATTTCAAAGCTCAGCTGAGGTGAGCTTTTACCACGAGCAGGGGGCAAACCATGTACACCACCTTGAAGTTATTGGAGAAAGGGCAGGATATAAATGCGATAAAATAAAATAACAAATCTGTGGTCCTTGTTTGTGGTGGTGCTGTCCCCTGATAGATTGTGAATGCTTGGTGTTATTGTTTTCATTCAGGGCACTTCCAAGAGGGGGCCTAGTTTGCAAATGGATCCTTGAGATACCACAAACAGGTGACTGACAACAAAGGATGTTTATTTATTTATTTTTAATTTAATGTCGGAATGCCCTTCACACTGAGGGCCCCTCCAGACATCCTTTTTACTATATAGTCATACCTCAGAAGTCGAACAGAATCCTTTCTGGAAGCCCGTTCAATTGCCAAAACGTTCGACTTCCAAAGCACGGCTTCTGATTGGCTGCAGGAAGCTCTTGCAGCCAATCAGAAGCTGCGGAAGCCCCATCGGAAATTTGGTTTCCAAAAGAACATTTGAAAACTGGAACAATCACTTCCAATTTTCACGGGAGCTGGAACGTTCGACCCCCTAGGAGTTTGGGAGCCGAGGTACAACTGTACATTTATGATGATGGGTTCATGGTAGTTTTGGAGCAGTTACACCTGGTCCTGACTTCAATTCTGTTGATGCCTGAAAAAGTTTTGAGGTGGACATAACCTTTCATTTCCAATAAGTGCATGTCTCATAACTTCCTGCTGAAATCCTGTAGCTTTTCATACCACAAATGTTCCAAGTTTGGAGAGGAGGGTGCCCTGCTTTTGTTGTACAAGAGTGCTCTTCCAAATTGCAACAATGTGATGGCACTGAGGAAGCATCGCAAAACAACTAATAAAGTGCAAGGATGGATGGATGGCCCAGTATAACTCCACTACCAATTATGCCCCTGACATGTTGCAAAATATACCATATGAAACAAGAGAAAACATATCAGTCTAGAGGGGGCCTAAACAGTAAGAGAAGCACCCATTGGATCCAGGTGGTAGTTTTATTGCACGTGAACTTCTCTCACTTCCTGTCTCAATTTTGGGGTTGTGAGGAAAATGCCAGCAGGAGCAGGCCTGGCTGAATCTTGTCCGACTCAGTCTCAGTCTCAAGCCTTCCTTTATTTCAATTAAGTTTGAGTTTGCCTTTATGAACTTGGGAGCGTGAGTGCTTCTTTCAAAGAGGCTAACATTTCATTCATCCAAAGGAGCTTGGAATGTGGCAGGGGAAAGGGAGGAGCAGTAAATCAAAGCAGATAGCAATTTGCCAGATGTAAAGTATTTTTCTTCATTCCTCCTCCCCACCTCCCTTCATCACCAACACACACATACTCTCTTTTTCTTTTCTTTTTTTTTACTATCAGAAATTTCAGAATGTTTGCTGACATTTTAATTCTTCCTTCATCTTTCAGAGGCACTGACATGTCATCCAGAAACAGAAGTTTCTCTTTCTCTCTTGCTCTCCATCTCTCTCTCCTGCTGAAAAAAAATCAGTGGGAGTTTTCCTTTGAGTCCTTGCAGCGATCACTGAAACTCAAAACACACACACCAATGTGTACTGCTGTCAGTTTAAAATTGTAACTTGGTTTTAACTGCAGCAGATAGGCTTCAAACTTCCCCAAACATTTTCCAGCTCAGGTTGAAATTGGCTGAATCCTCCACCTTTGCCTTGGGGCACAGATTAAGGTTGTGCAATCCTTTTACCTACTTTTCTGAGACATAAACACGATTGAATTTAGCAGGACATCATTCTGGATAGAAATGTATGGGTTTCACTCGAAGAAAGATGCCCAATAGTTAAGGACAACTTCATAGAGGTATCTTTAATACTAGTGAAGGTACAAAACAAATAAGAAAGGTATCATTCCTTAATAAATTATGGGTTGAATTCTGAGATCCCATGGGATTCACAGAACACTCCTGCTCATGGATGAAAGGAAAGGTGATTTTTCTGGAGTCTATCTATCCCTGGCACCCCCTATATACCCCCAAAGTGGTCAGACTCCCTACACAGCTTGCTAAAATGTTTCCCTTGCAGCACTGTCATAACAAATGCATTTTCCACCAAAGACTTCCTGCTATACTGTGAAAAAGGAATTCTGCATTGACACAGCATTGACACCAAGCAACGTATAGCAGATCTGCTTCTTTAATAGGTTTTATTCTTTTTTGCAGGTTTTACAATCATATTTCATCAACCAGTACAGTACAACATATTTGGCTATTTTTTAAGAGGGCTTCTGGAGACTGGCACATGGTGGTTCTATTTTGAGTCCTCCTACATGTTTATGCTTTAAAATGTGGTTGTTAAATAGCATATCAGGCATCTGGCTTAAGCGGGCTCCTTTCTATCTCCTGATCGGTAGCAATTCTTCACACAGCAGCTTATGATTGGGTCCTTTAAATATGGGAAATAAGAAACGATGGTGGGTGGGTGTTTTTCTTCTTCTTCCTTTTGCCTGAACTCTGAAAAAAAAGGACATTCTTACATTACATGGCCCAGGAGATGTTAGCGGTATGTTCTTTGGCTTTCATTCGTAGAACTGCAATACTGGAAGACCTCCGTTCAAATTCCGGCTTGGTTTCAAATGCATGTCCATTGGTGGTTCCAGAAAGTAAAGAGTCAGTGAAGAAATTGTTGAGGGGGACATGGCTGAATTGGCTCTGGTGGTTTGAAAAACCCGAGTACCCAGAATCTGTCCGAGGCGAATGAGAGTAAGGGGTCATACAAGAGGAGGTCTCCCGTGGAAGCATGCAGGAAGTCACCACCGAACCGCTCGCTGCATTTCCTGCCCACAAATTATTCTGAATCTGGAACATATGAAACAAAGAAGATTAAATGTGCACAATCGCCGCCACCCCCCTCCTTAACATAGCTGTCTGCTTTGTTTGGTCCATTTTCGGGCAATCGGGTGACACATCTGTCGTTCACGGAACTGTGGAACATTTATTTATGTGGAAATGACAAATCTGGTGCCAACAGGGGTCCAAAGGTTTGCTTGTTTAGGAGCACCTTGCACGGCCTGTACAAAAATGTTCAAAATCAAAACGGGGTAGGTTTCCAGGGAAAGGGTTTTTGTGGTTGTCATCACAAGACTGTGTGACAACCAACTTTTCACCTGGCTCCAGTGAGAGCAATGTGTCCATGGAAGCTGATTTATGGGCATCAGATTGTCTTCTAGGAATAAGCCCTGTGTGCTCAAAAGTCAGCTGAATTAGAGGACCCCTGCATCCAACATCCCAAGCTGTTCTTGCAGTTCCCTTTCAGTTCCAAATGTACAGGGAGTTGAAGTTCACTGTGCATCTTTCAGTGTGAAAGATAATTCTGCCATTTGCACCTAAAAGAGCCATCAAGGGCCATGTAGCTGAGCATCTTATTTTGCAAATAGTCTCCAACAGATCCTCTGGACTTTTGCATCGGGGCATCAGTCCCAGCACCTGATATTCAGAGGTTCGTGAAGGTACTATAGACAGCAACCAGTAAGAAGTATGCTCCATGAATTTCCTTAATTTTATAATGCTGCCTAACCTAGTGGCCATCAACACATCTTGTGGTGGTGAGTTCCACAAGCTACTTATGCACAGTGCGAAGAAGTACCTCCTTCTGTCTGTCCTGAACCTGCTGCCAGTCAACTTCTTTGGGTGACTCCGAGTTCTAGAATTATGAGAGAGAAAAAGTTCCGTCTGTGCTCTCCTCCCCATTTGTCATTTTATAAACCTCTATCACGTCAAATTGTGGGACACAGATGTCAGTCCTGCACCTTCTGCCAGTCATCTCTATTGACTAAATTGTGCATGGCACAGTAAGCATGCAGAGATGTCACAAGAATTACTCGTGTATCCTCTCTGCTGCTGCTGCTTTTTGACATGCAGAACAAAAACAAAACAATGTTGCTCTCAAACATGATATTGATGCTCCTGAGTTAGAGGGCTTTCCTCATCCAATTGAACTAGTGCTGTGATTCTGTTTAGACTTAATGCTCTGCTTCCTGGAAGGCGAGTCACTCCTATGGGCACAACTCCTGGGGAACCCCTCCATACCAAAATTCAAGTTTCACATTTCCATCCTGCCTTGCACCTGGCCACGTGCCACTCCTGTTAAAGGTAAAGGTAAAGGGACCCCTGACCATTAGGTCCAGTCGTGGCCGACTCTGGGGTTGCGGCTCTCATCTCGCTTTATTGGCCGAGGGAGCCGGTGTACAGCTTCCGGGTCATGTGGCCAGCATGACTAAGCCGCTTCTGGCAAACCAGAGCAGCGCACGGAAACACCGTTTACCTTCCCGCCGGAGCGGTACCTATTTATCTACTTGCACTTTGATGTGCTTTCGAACTGCTAGGTTGGCAGGAGCAGGGACTGAGCAATGGGAGCTCACTCCATCATGGGGATTCGAACCGCCGACCTTCTGATCGGCAAGCCCTAGGCTCTGTGGTTTAACCCACAGCACCACCCACATCCCTTACCACTCCTGTTACTATTGCTTAATGATGTTTCTATCTGACCTTTCCTCAAATGAACAAAAGATGCATGCATTCCCACTACCCACCCTGCTTTATCTCACAACAACCTTATAAAGTAGGCTAGACTGAGATGTAGTAACTGTGACCCAAGATGACCCCCATGGACTTCAGGGCTGGGTGAGGGTTTGAACTTGTTGTTTTCTAAATAAAATTAGGCTGATGAGAATGTGCGTGCATGCATATGCACCAACATTCACGCATACCCCCAAACTGAAAACACCATGAGCTGTAATTTTGTGGGAATTATTTGCCAGGCAGGCTGTGAAACCAATGTGGAGGATTTCTGCTTCATTGCATAAAGAAAGCAAGTGTAAAGTGAAATATATTCTGAGAGTCCATGGGAATTTTACTTCATCAATCTGATTTGCTTTTAATAGAAAGTAAAAGGAAACATTTAAGAGCCCTTCCTCATTATTTTTTTAAAAAGGATATATGAAAGAGAAATAGTATGTGCTTTACTGCTGTGTCAAATCTTCTCCAAGTTAAATTTTTGCTTTATGAGGAGCTAAATGCCTTCTACCATTTTTTTCCTGATGGATGTTTGCAACTGTTCTTACCCCTTATTTTCCTAGTGAGTGTGCCTATGAAAGGGGCCTCATTCCTTAGCTCAAAAAGTTAGGTATGTGTGCAGCTGCAACCTTATATTCTGATCTCTGCATGGAGGTGCAAGCTGTAAAAGTCCAAGCAGAGCTGTGAAAGGACAGCTTATCTCTCTGATCTGGCCTCAGACCCAGGCCTGGACCAAAGAGTGAATGGGGACGGGGTGGGGGTGGGGGTGGGAGGAGTGCCAAGTCATTTTGTCTAAAAGCAAAACAATGCAGATTCATTACAGTTGTGGCAGGACAAATATGCCCTCAGGCCTTTGTTTTTGCAGATTGTCTGGGGTGGGGGGGAACAAAATTCCAAGCCAGGGTCACCTTACAGCGGTTCTCAACCTGTGGGTCCCCAGATGTTGTTGGACTACAACTCCCATCATCCCTGGCCTTGCTAGCTAGGGGTGATGGGAGTTGTAGTTCAACAACATCTGGGGACCCACAGGTTGAGAAAGGCTGCCCTCCTAGTCTCCCACACAAAGGAGGAGTGCCCCCCTACAACATATTTAGCTAAAGGTGAGATGGCCTCCGCAAACATACCGCCACTGCCCATGGGGCTTTGGGGGCATTAGGGCAGTGTGACCAGCTCCACCACACTGGGCACTGAACGGAGGGGTCTCTGTAGGGCATTGCAACTATGACATAGTGAATTAAGCAGAACAGAAGGCAAGAGCCACAGAGCACCGCTGGAATTTGAAAGACCAAAATCTGACTCTTCTGGCATGATTGGGATTCCAAAGCACAGGTGCAGAGCCTACAAATCCTGTTTCAGAAAGCTTTTGATGTTGGATATTTGCAGTCTCATAGGAACAGCCCACAGGCCCATCTAGCATTATTTAACCTGGTATTTTTTTTCCATCCTGACCAGCAGTGGCTCTAAGGAATTCAGACTGGGTTGCGGGTGGGGACAACAACAACATTCCCAGCCTTGCCTGGAGATGTCAGTCAGTGTAGACAACACTGAACAAATTGGACCATTGGCCCAACGTGGTGTGAAAGCAGCTTTCCTTGGTTCATATGACGCAATTCCTTCAGCAATGTTGCATCCCAAGTTTTTGTCAAGTAGGATACTTGGAGTGCCAAGGAACAATAGGAGGATGTTGGAAGCATGTGAGGGGAGGATTAAAAGGAAAGAAAATGGATCAGTGGACCAAATTATTTTCATGCCAAAGTAAAAAGGGACTAAATCCTTAAAGGGCCAAAAGTTCCTGTAGCAACGCATGCTTTAAGTTCAGCCAGGCAAATGTTTTCCCATGTTTCATCATCTGCCTATCCCTTTAATTTGTCTTAAAATGCTAGAATTTAATCACAAAAGTCATGTCAAGCAAATAAAACTGAAAATTTATAAAGTTGGCAAGTAGGTTGTTTAGCTTTTCTTTACTTGAGGGAAGCACAATCATAAATTTGATAACAAAAGGGTATCCAGCAGAACTCTCGTTGCTTGGTTTGCGAGCGTGATGCAACTTTAAAAGTTGTGATCCTGTCTGTTTCACAGCACTACTTAAAAGCATAATTCTCTATTCCTCAAATTAGCAATTCTTTATTTTAAGTGGATAGGTAAAGATTTGCAGCAGGTTGACTGTTTAACAAGATATATGCTGTTAAGTTTCACTAAATAAATTCCTAAGTGTAAAATATATATTGGAATTTTAAAAATAAATACAGCCCTGTTTTACAATACGTAGAAAACATCAGTGCCTCTCCTGGAATGTAGGGCAGAAAGGAGACAGTACTTGAATTTAAAGAAAAATATTTTTCCTGTGATCTGTGTAGTATATAAAAGGCAATTCAAGGCGATTCTGAATAAGCCTATACATAGATCTCATCTCTGGTTTCTGTTAACATCACAAACATCTTGAGTTTTGCTCTTGTGGTTACTGTGAAATCACTAAAGAGCCCTTCAATATTTTTCCTTACTATAGTACATGTGTGTGAGTGGCAGTGGAGGTGGGGGTGGGGTGGAAGCACTGTAAAATTCAATCAGATTAGCAAACTCATTAATCAACTACAATTTTAGTTGATTAATAGAAAGAGGTAACTTTAATCTGTGAGGGCACATACTAATTTGTGAAGCTGTTTTGGCTCCTGTGTGTTACAATAACAGGAATGAAACAGAAAATATTAAAGATGTTTTTTTTTCTTTTGGCAAGGCAGTCATTTTTCTTATTAGCTAGTAAATTATCACCTCCTTCAGTATCTCAGATGGCCACCTATGTTGTGGTGACTTGCACATTTATTTAGATGCATTTGATCAGAGCAATCTTATACATGCCAACCCAGAAGCAAGTCCCACTGAATTCAACTGGGCTTACTCCAGGTAAGTGGATATAAGGACTGCAGCCTTATTCAGTTAAATCAACTACAATTTCTTTAGTGCTAATTGATATATTTGCTAGTGGACAATATAAATAGGCAAACACTAGCAAACCTATACCAGTTAGGCTTCTGAATTTGGCCTGTCAGGTGCAGAGATCTGTTATCTCCAACCCTTGGAATGAATTAGTTCAGTTGAACAAAGTTGACTTCCAACAGCTTGAAGCAAAAAGCACAAGTACAGGAACAAAGCAAATGAACAGGAACAAAGCTTTTAACAGCTGTCTGACAGACAGAAATTAAACAGGATAAGTCTTTTCTAGTATGAAAATACAATTATGGGGAAAGCTTCATCTGTTGTCATTCTGTCGGTCAGACTTCTTTTTACCTGTATTTGGTTTAGATTTACTTTTGAACCCTGAACTTCAGCACATTGCTTTGTAACATTCAGAATGCAGGGGGGGAGGGTGATACTAATTTTTTATGAACTGTAAAAAGTTACAAATTTGGATGGACATGAACTATTTGTTTTGTAAAAGGATGGGCCTTTTAAAAACAAACTTTCCAAGCCCTGGTTATCTCTGATCTAAGCACTAAGGATCTCTTAGCTGCAGTCTAAGCACTAAGCACCACAGTACTAAGATCAGAGATCTTATTTTCAGAGTTTATTTTCTCTCTTTGCGCTGTGGTACCTAGCATTTTCCTATGCAGGTAACATTTTCCATATCTCTTACCTTACCACTGTAGGAACACAGGGGAAAAAACTTCTGCCTATTCCTCAAAAGCCAGCAGGCACAAAAAGCCTTTCTCTGCTCTTTAAAAAGCTTATCTCCAGTCCAGTTTAGCTGCTACTCTTTTAACATCAAAGAAGCTTATCTCCATTCTTAGCGCTGCAGATTTAACAGTATTATTGAGCTATGGCCCTTTAAAAATGTCGCTGATACAATAACCACTTTTTGTTGTTACCACTGCAGACTCTCAACCGCAGCTATGTACACAAAACACATTTAAAGCACATTTCCTTCCCCAAAGAAACCTTGAAACTGTAGTTTCCAAAGGGTGTGCGAAACATAGCTCTGTGATGGGTAGACTACCGTTCCCAAGATTCGGGGAAGGGGCTTAATGTGCTTTAAACGTATGATGTGTACACAGTCCTGACTTGCCCTTGAACTGTGCAGTGCTTTCAGTTTCTCCTCTTTTAAATAGTTAGCATTCTCTGCCTTTTTCTTGA